AAATACCGGCTAAAACATCTCAACACAATTAAGCCCATCGTTTCCTACCCGGGGTGTTATAATGTGGCAATTTTTAACGTGACATCGAACCAATAAAAAATAAAAGGCTCTTTTGGTTGTAGTTCTATCTCTATTATGGGAAATTGGGCAAGACGCTTTACCAAAAATAACCTAAAAATCTTCATCTTGTGTCCTTCAAGTGAGGGTTTTTTAAAAAACCACAGTTGGGGCTTAAGAATCTAAGGGACACAGGCTTCGATGTAGTTTCACCTGCTCTTTCGAATGAGACATTCATCGAACAGAACGGATAAAAAATGGCGGAGTTGTTCGAGAAATACTAGATGGGACCCAGCTTCCCGGGTTTTCTCGATCTACTCAGTTTGGAATGCCTATAACTCGGTCAAAATAAGTCCAAACTCGCTCAAAATTTGTTCGTAACCCCAGTTTTTCATGTAGATCCCGAATATGCAAAAATATTTATATGTCAATTTTTGTCACTAAACGGCTCTATTGACTATTTCTCGACTGACTCGCGAAACCTCTCTTAAAACGCTCCTTCGGAGTTCAGGATCCGTTTGGCGCCGGCCGACATATATAAATCGTAGGCTAGCAGACAATTTTTTTTAGAATCTAGATGCTCTTCAAGGTAGTGAATAGTGTATCGTTAGATGATAATTTCTGTCAAAGAATAAATGTCCAAACTTCGAAAAAAAATGATTTGCTGCGTCTCCACAGTCACAGGTATGTACTGTAGATCTAAGACATCAGCGAGAGAAATTTTCAAATATTATTCATTATAACCGTCTGAGATGTATTCGTTTAGATGGCCATTCGCCAGTCAGTAAAAAGTAAACTCGAGGTTAGATGGCGGATTCTAAGATTTTGTATTTAAACTCTAGTTCGCTAACATTTTCTTCGCACAGAGCAGCAGAAAGAAAATGCAGGAATTGGTTTAAAAACAGAGGATAGTGAAGCAAGAAAAAAATGGTGTGTAATTCACCATGAACGACTTTTGCAGGATTCGTAGATTTAGGGACGTTATAAAATTCGGTTAAAAAACTCACATAATTACTCCTACGGTCTTCGTGCTACTGTAAAGCAACCAGCATTTAGAGAACCTGCCGTTCAACTGACCCCAAGTCTCTTCCAAATTCCATACCCTTATTTAGCTCAAAAGGAAGCATTCCAGTTCTTAATAAAAATGGATATTTTTTTCGCAAAAAAGTGACACAAATGATTCCACCAATCAAATAAATAAAACTGTGTTCATCACACCCATATTTCTAAATCTAACTTTTCACTTTTTGCTTCCATTAGCGCTTTTCCGCCCTCACTGTTTTTTGAGAGCTGCTTCCCTCCCAAGTAAAGCAATTCTAATGTTGAATCGTTTTTTTTCAGTCCATCTGCTAAATACTTAAGACCAACATTCGTCATTTGACTTCCTCCAAGGATTAATTCTTTGAGTGTTCTATTTACTTCCAACATCTCTCCAAATAACTTGACACTTTCATCTCCTATCTTACAGTCACGTATGGACAGTTCTTTAACTGTTGTATTCACTTTCATCGCTAAAGCAATTTCAATCGCCCAATCATCGTTTAAGTTTGAACCTGAAAGATAAATTTCTTCTAATTTTCTCGTTACCTCGACCAATTGTCTCAGATTTCTAGCACTTCTGCTGGTCAGTAAAGGATTTTTCTCCATATACAATCCCTTTAAATCTGTCTCGTTCTTCTTCAATTCATCTGTGATCAACTGAAAATCATCATCGGTTAAGCCTGTGTTAGTGAACAGTAGGTACTCAATTCTTTTATTCACTTTTAAGGCATCTGCCAAATTTCGTCCACACACTGGGATCAAGCGATTATCTTCTTCATCTCCATAATGTTCTTTACCGAATCCAATCCCCTCTACCCTCATGTTTGTTTTCAGTGAGTCAACTATACGTTCAAGACTTTCCATCGATATATATTTGCAGGTGATGGCCATGTATTTAGGTGAGACGGGTTTTAGAGCCTCACAAATTGCTGATGCCTCTGCCAATGTTAAGTAGTCAATGTCGAATACAAAACGTCTCTCATCATCGTCCTTGTCGTCGTCGCCTTTATTTGACTTAAGTTTTTTAAGCAGTGTTTTCACCTGACTCGATAGTTCTAAAACAAGAGAAAGGGAGAAACAAAAATCAAACAAAATAAATTTAAGAAATGAGCCATGTAGTGCCACTGACAAAGATCCCTTTACACTTATTCAAACATTTGGAACCCCCGGCTGGTGTTACTTCGCAATTTATAAAGTTTCAACATACCCCCTGCAGAATGTTTTAAGTAGTTTTCTAGAAATATTTTTACGTTTTTAACCAGTTTTGTGTTTACGCGGCGGCGGGTTAAAAGTTTCATCTTTTGCAAATATCATTTTAAAAATTCGTAAAGCACATCATTGGATGCAGTTGTTGACGCTGATTTCGAATATGATCTTTGGTCTTAGTTTTGATCGAGTTTTGATGGAGAAAACCTTAAGAAAACCGAAAAATCATATCCTAAAAAATCAGTTTTTTTCCGCTTGTTATCAATTTTTGGTCATTGGTTGAAACTTTTTTAAAAAATCTGAGACCACTGTTTTGTTCCGAATTTCAAGGTCTATAACCTCCAAGGTCGAGAAAACGAATTTTGGAAATCATGGGGTGCCCGGCCCCGTTTTGTGAGCTCTTTGAACATCAAAAACTATTTCCTGCCATTCCCAAACACAATTTTTATAGTTTTCCGACCATGCTCTATTTCGTGGAGGCACTTTCTGTGGAGTGCAATGGAAGTCCATAGACACTGAGAGAAATGCTGGCCGCAGTGCGTTCGGCGAGACTGCGGTTATTTGTTTACACGTTTCGACGCCTCCATGAGATAGAGAATAGTCGGAAACCTATAAAAAATGTATTTGGGAATGGCAGGAAATAGTTTTTGATGTTCAAAGAGCTCACAAAACGAGGCCGGGCGCCCCATGATTTCCAAAATTCGTCGAAAAATGTTTTTTAGCTAGGAGCCTAAAAGACACATTTTCTGGCTCAGTTTTTAACGCTGATCCCGAATATATGGTTGGTTTGATGTTTGGACGCCATGTTTTTATGAAAAAGACGAAAAACTGGTAAAAAGTGCAAAAAACGGTGCGACTCGACCATATCGTTTTCCGGTTTTGGACACCGCTGAACTATAGAAGTTTTTTTTATAGAGGCAGCCTATCTTGTAGAGAATTGAATTCTCTACAAGATTCCGCAAATAAATTTTTGGCCAATTGATAAGCGGCCTCGGAAACGGGCAAATACTCGAAAAACTCGGATTTTCAAAACCCCGGTTTTTCCCGAGTTATTTTATTGTAAAATTGGATATTAATCCAAAACAGCTTTCAAACACAGTTTTTCATGCAGTTTTTCATGGTCTTTCAGTTGAAACGTCGCGCAGATAGGACGGACAAAATTTGACGGGGTTAAGAGCGAATTATCCAATTGGTCAGTTTTCAAGGGTTTTCTCGACCCGCTCCTATTAAAATACGCGTAACTCCGTCAAATTAAGTCCAAACTCCCTAAAATAATTTCGTTCCCGTAGTTTTGTGTGCTGATTCCGAATACGTGATAAAAAGTATTGGTTATAAAATTTCACATTATGACTCTGCAAGAGAACACTCGATTTTCTCATGCCCTCTCTCTTAATGGCGAGATAAGTTTTTGTCTTAAGACTTTAGATGACTAATCGAATAAACAAAAACCCCTGACAGTTTTAGGGTTTTTAGAGTGTATGACTTTTTAACTTGATATAAATCGTCAGGCAGTTTTAAGTGATATAATCTTCGAACGCAGAAATGTGGCCTATCTGATGGTTAAAAAAAATGCTGTATCTATTGATTTTTAGGAAAATTTGAATTTTCGTTCTCAAAAACTACGGTCTTCGGCTACCCTCAGTATAAACAACATGCAAGCATACGCAAACATTCAAACTTATTAAGTTTTCTACCAAAGTCATCGTCTTGATGTCTTACATCTAATACTACATGCAGTTTTTTGTCGCTGATGAGAAACAGGTTTTGTAAAAGCCCTGAAAGGACGAGTGCCATTAAGCACACTTTTCGTCCGAAAAATCTACGCAATGAGGCATACATATTCGGAATCAGCATCGAATTCTGAGTATACTAGTAATCACGGATCACTGAAATATGCAAAAAAAAATCAAAAAATTTCACGGCAAACGGGGGTTCAGGGACGAAAAAAAACTTTTTTTCTCCAAACTGGTCGAGTGACACACTTTCTGACTCAGAATTAGATGCTGATTCCGAATATGTATGTCTCATTGCGTAGATTTTGGGACGAAAAGTGTGCTTTAATGGCACCCGTGCTTTAAGGTTTTTGATGTTTTTTACGATGTTTTTTACCAGTTATTTCACTTTTTATCAAAACCAGTGAGTTATTCGGTATCCGCCTAAAAAGCTGCATCGAATGGTGTGTAAGTCGATTATTTTTAGCAAAACTTAACGTTCCTCAAAAAATTTATGGCAAAGGTTCCTCAGGAGTTGGTTTGAAGTGAAAACTAATCACTTCAAAGTCAAAAAAAAACACATTTCCGCCTGCTCTAGAGAAAATTGCCCACTGTGTACCTGTCGGTTAAAGATCGCTCGGAACTCATACGGGTCGATACGAAAAAACACTCTGATTGAGCAATTTAGATTTTTGATCACCACAACAACATTTTCGAAGAATTGTGCGAGAGTAAATCTTGTTCTGCGTTTCACGCACTTTCCAAGGTGATGTTATTCGAACAGAACGGACAAAATTTGACGGAGTTATGCAAGAAATAAAACAGTCACTGAGTTTCGGAACGTTTCTCGACCTACTCATTTTGAAATGCCCATAACTCGGTCAGACTAAGTCCAAACTCGCTCAAAATTTTTTTGTAGCCCTAGTTTCTTATGTGGATTCTGAGTATGTGATAAAAAGTATAGGTCTATTTTTTCTTTCAAAGTGCTCTATGGCAGGATGCTCGATAGAGCCAGAAAGTCTCTCGTAAGAAAAATTTCAACTTAGAATCTCAAATAAATCTTCTAAAATAGTGTAGACTAACCAAGCACGAGAAGTTTCTCCAACTGAAGGCAGTTTAATTGTCCAACCAAACAATTGCTACTCAAATCAAAAGTTTTTAAAAACATTATCCTATCTTTAGTTTGATGGGACGTACGCGATCCTAAGCCAACTAGAATGGAGGTCTCTATTCGGAGGAGTACTCGTGCAGAAACCGGTGATTCAAACAAAGCTGCTTTCTTATACTACAAGAAAAAGTTCCCTAGACCTACCTGGTACAGGTGCAGTTGTTATCCACTCGCTGATTTCACTGAACGCACTCAGACAAATTTCATCAACGGATTGTACTGCGAACTGAAATGACGTCGCTGGTGGCAGGTTTCCAAGTATTGCTATTTTTCGACTGTCAATTGTACTGCAACCCTGCCATTCGTCTGTGCCTTGTATTTGATAGAAAATTTGGTACTTCTCAACACCTTCAGAACCGCGCTCTTCATTTGACCATTGCAGTGTGATACTGCTAGGTGTCACAGCAGCTGCAGTTGGCACATCTGAAAAAAGATTGCAAGAAAAATTGAGAAAAGCTCATATCGCCCAGCCGCCAGGATATCTTGGTTGGACGGGACGTCAAAGTAGTATGGGTGGCCGACGTACATTACGAGCAATTTTTCTAATCTAACATCCTGGTGGCTACAAAAGCTCTGCTCGGCAGCCCTTCGGGCGTGCAGAAAAGACCAGGGCAGAGTTTTTTGGCTTAGACCTTGGTTTTTAGGTACTTTTCTGGGGTCTAGCCACCCAAGATGCTGTAGCTGCTAAAGTTTTTGATTGCAGGAATGACTTGGTAAGGTATCCTGTTGGTTTACCCGCATTACTAACTTGGCGGCTGGATGTATCGACTACTGAACGAATTAGCCCTTCTCGCAAAATTATGAAAAGTTCGAGTTTGTTTGGGTAAAAAATAGCAGGTTTAAAACAGAATCATTTTGATAACTTCCAGAAAACTCGCTCCTAAAAAGCACCAACGACGTTTTTAAGATTATTTCAAACTCCTGCGAATGTTAGGAGAAATCGTTAAAAGCAAAATTCGAACGATTAACCGCAAAAAATCACAATCTTTCGTTGGGCCGTTAAGTTTGCTTAGCGAAGGTACTCTCAGGATTTTAACTTGCAGGAAATCAAGTTCGGGATGAAGAAATCTCGAGAATTGTCTGCTTAAAGAGCTTAAGAAGAGTAAATACGTACGAACCTGGTTTACTCGGCATAATGTAACCTTTCTTTTCTTCTGCATCTTCATACAGCACCAACTCAGCTCCTCTGCCCTCATTATCTTTCGAAAGGTGAACTTCGTTGAAAATAAACTTGATCTTTATATTTCCAACGTTTACTCGATGCAGTTGGACAAACTGTCTGAAAATTCTACGCATTCTCAATACGGTTGGCTCACTTTTGGTCCAGGACACTGGCTTCTGGGCTTCGGTTCGTAGAAAAGCACCTTTTCGATCAAAATAATTGGACATCTCTCTCAGCTGTGGTTCATCTTCTTCGTTCAAACGAAATGAGAGACAGAGAATATATTTTAAATCGGCAGTGTTAACAACTTCCGCAACCGAGCACCATTCTATTGCACTTGACGATGTGCTTTGGTTAATATTTCGAACGAGTGAGTCGAGGTGTTCAATTTCATCTTGTTTGTCTTCGAGCCACTTAGATAGTGTTTGTTGACTGAACGGTGAAGTTTCTACATTTGCAAATATTTTATCGAGTTCTTGGACTGCTGCTGCTTGACCGGAACGGATTTGGAGTAGGATGACGGCCATTTCCCTTCTGATTTTATTTTCATATGCATCCATTATCTCGATGAACTTTAACAGCTGCTCTTTCAGATGAGAGAAATATTGGAATGCCGGGGATCGAGTGAGATCACTGGCTTTAACCTTGGACGAATGGAGATCTTCGGTGATAACCAACGCTTGATTAACGAGAAAATCTGGTAGTTCATAAATAATTGTTGCAGGTTTTGAGTCCAGTAAAAGGTGCAATGGATATAGCCAAACTGTTTTTGGTACAGCATGTTCACCGTCAGCACCTAAATAAAGTGAAGATAAATTAAAATTGTTACTATATAACTGAAACTGCTGGAAATCTACTGCCGCCTACAGCCGCATTTCTCTCTTTGCATTTTGCATCGAGTAACAGTACATAACTGATAAGAATATCCTTAATGCTCTGGAATGGTCGAACCAGCTTTCCTTTACTTCGATGTGCCCGTTTGACGAATCCCTGCCGTGCTCCCCAAATCACGCACTTTTTGATCTTAGGGCGTCTAATAAAGGTGTCTGTTAAAGATTCCCTAAAGATATTCCAAAATTTGATCTTCGACAGTTAACGTCATTTAATGGGAAAAAGCTCAGTTTTCAAAGGCGAGATTGCGCGAACACTTTTGCACCATCCTAGCAGTATAGAGCTGACCGAATGATATTTTATGTGAATACTGTTAACAAGAAAGAAGCCCTCGCAAGGAGTTTGTTGCTCTGAAAGTTTCAGTTCGCTAGCTTCTTTCTCTCTAAAGTATAATAAGTTCAAATATTCGAGATCCGACTCTCCGGTCTCTATACAATTAAAAATCGATAACTTACTCGAAGTACGCTAGAAACGGCAGGCGTGAGATCAAAAGAGAGAAGTTTACTTTCCTAAGGTCTTGGTTTTTTTTAGTGGATCGCTAAAAAGCTATCTCTAGAGTTGAAGGCAGCTTTTGTTGGTCTCAACACGTCGTTTCGCAAAGTTTGAGCCGTTTTTAACGAGATTTAAGAAAGTTATGGATTTATGAATGTGCCTTCGTATAGGGGAAGAAGCTGCGAAGACTTAAAGTTTTCACACCTCGAGGTGGAAGGCAGCCAGTGGGCTGAAAATTTCAGGGCAACATGTAAACACTGATGCGGCTTTAAGGGGAAAAGTTCAGGCGTTTATGCCTTAACTCGACGGAGCTATGTATGATAAATTCAATTTGTCGCGTTTTTTTTCCCATCAACTCGAAAAACGCGCCTAACATTTTAAGCAAGTAACATGAGCAATTAACCTTTTAGGTTTTTTTTGTAGCACAATATACTCTATCGATCGGTATATGATTGAAAGAAATCTGAGAGTCGCTGGTAGGGAGAACTTCTGGTAAATGGTAGAGAAATACCGTTCTGCGAAAATCTTCTTCGTGACAGCCACCGGCGTAGTAAGCTCATTCTTCTGTAACCGCGGTTCTCAAAAGAGCTTTACTCACCTAGTAAATCAGGCAATTCCTGGTACAACATGACTGCATCTTGAAAGGTACTTGGATGCTGTTTCAGGTTATAATCACCATAAAATGTACACTGAAGTTTGTCGACCACATCTTTGTCCTGTTCTTCCACGACGATATTTCCGTTCAGATCGATGCTCCAGCTCGGCAATTTTTTCACAGCTGTCGAAACCTTCGCATCAATCTCTTCCTTATTTTCATCTAGGCCAACTTTTCGATCAAATATAAAAAATGCATCTGCACCATGGGTGATAGCGGTGACAATGTGTGTAGCAATATCTTGATTCTGTAATTCAAACTCTCGTCCAAGATGTGCTACTGACAGTTGTTCAAAGTGAGTTGTCATCAAATATTTCAGGACCATACGTGACTGATGATTTGTCCGTTGACGATCATTAACATACTAAAAACACAGAAAAGAATATTTAGTTGAAAAAAATACGCCCGTTTACGAAGATCCTTAAACAAGATAGACGTACACAACGCCAAAACTAGGCAAATCTTTAAGGAAAAACGAAAGTGTGCTCTTTAGAATTTCAATAGGCGAGAACTTTCAGGGTTTTCCTCATAACTTTTTTTAAACATTATATTTTCTCTTGGAGCGAGATTCCTCTGAAGGCTATCCAAAACTGTCTCTAGAAAGACGTTTTCGGCATTTCTACGGTGATCTCTGTATCTTCAAGAAAGACACAATCGGTTGGAGGATTATAGCATTTCTAAACCGACCTCTACTGGTCCTTCGCAGTTTTTGGCCTATTTTCATTTGACGGTCTCAAATCTAAATATCATTCCAAACTCAAAATAAAATCGATTTTAAAACTACATTCCTTGCTGTGTATGTGTCTTCGAAGCTCGAGCACGAAACTAACTTTAACGAACTTTGAACTAGAACCACTCTCCAGTTGAGGGAGAAAGTCAAATATAAAAAATCTGTTTTAGATTGCCAGAAACTGCGAAGAGGAGAGGTAATTGATTCAGAAATTTGTTAATCCCTCACTGCTCGCATCGGCTCCTGAACAGATAAATGTCGCTGCGGAAATATAGGAAAGATCTATCTTGATGCCGCTATCGACGGTCTTTTAGCTAAAATGTCAATCGATGAGGTGAACGGATAAAGTTTGATGAAGTTCCAAGGAAATACGCTAAAAAGACCGGATCCTACAAGTTTTGTTTTGACCAGTTGACTTCGAAGTGTTTATTACCGGTCAAATTAAGTGGGAAGGTATTCAAAGTTTCGCCGATGCCGCAATTTGTTATACAGAATCTGAAAATGTGACAGATCTTTAGAAGATAGGTCTGCAGACAGGCTGCTCTATCGGAAAGCAGGAATTATCAGAGTGTCGAGAACGAAAAATGTGCTTGCTTCCACATTTCTCCTTGATAAAGAACTTACGTTAGCTGAACCGGAAATTTCGACGAGATTGCAGATAATGTTCAGCATCATATTGCTATCCAATATTAGTTGATTGGCTTTGGTATGAAAATTATCATGAGATATAAAAGTCAAATTTGTGGTACGATATGGAGTTTTCACCACGTTTTCCTGTAGATACTTATTATCCAACAGTGTTGCATCAGAAATCAGGTTATGACTGCGCAGGTCATAGAGCATTCCCAGACGAAATGGACGACCGAGTGCCATCAATCGAACAGGCTTTGGTTTCTCCATAGTAGCTTGATAGCTAGACATCTAAAAGGTGAAGAAAAGAGAGTTTTCAGTTTTAGAAAAAGGATGAAGACAAGCTAGGAACGAGATTTTGGCATCTCATATGTACAAAGCACGACCAGGAAAAAATACTTTGTTTTTAGTCTGAACTTTAGAATCAACTTTCTGACTGGAAGGCTGTACTTACTTTAAAATTACACCGATGTAGATAAGACTAAGTAGCGTCAGGATTTGCTTTCCTCTTGCAACATTCAGCTAACATATAATTAAAAGTTAAAGCAGGTAAGCTTAAAAAACTGTAGGAAGCGCCTTGAAATTGCGTCTTGGGAGTTTGGTAAAAAGCACGAGTTTTCTCATGTACCATCCATAACTGATTCATGTGGATCTATCGACTCTTACAAAAGGATGCATTAAGACACATGAGAAAACACATGCTTTTTGATTATCATACTCCTGGGGGACCTGAGTGCGAGTGAATCACGCAAAATATCTAACGTAAAGAGCTGAATGAGAAAAAAGCAATTAATTCAGTTTGGATAGCTTCACTAGCATGTGAACCTACTCATACAGAACATAATTTTTTTCATTCTGCGTTATTCATTTCGTTTGCCTGCTCTTTAGTCTCAGGACGTGATAATAAGGAGCACGTGCTTTCTCATATGTACACATTTTCAAGTGTCTTTAAACCAAAAAAAGCGTCATTTTGTTGTAGTAGATGCAGGCTAAACTCACTCTTTTACCATCACTCCCGAGCTGCATATTTTAAAGAAGTTTTTCCACTTTTGCTGTGTTACTTTAGATTACGTTCATTAGATCGAGCCTGCAAGATGAGTGCATAGGACAAAAAACATTCTCTCAGTGCTAAATCCCAAGCACAGGGCGGAGTACAGACTTCCGAGTCGATAGTTTGGTCTTGAAATTCTGAACAAAAGCACAAATACTTCTTTAATGGTAAATTGCAGATATATGAGATCTCTTCTCGGCGTCTTCTTTTGTCTGTCAGTCATTTGTCTGATTTTAGCGTTTCCTTCTACTGTTTAACTGACTGAAAAATCCTTTCTTTTTACCATTTAGACAACTATTTCTCAAACTTCTTCTAGCAGCACTATGGAGCAGCGAAACACCGTTCAGTTGGCAGCACTCGGTCGTCCATTTCGTCTTGGAATGCTTTATGATCTGCGCAATAACGCACTTATCCCCGGAGCAACATTGTGGAATAATAAGTATCTACAAGAAAACATGGTGAAAAATCCACAGAAGACGACGAATGTGAGCTTTATCTCTGACGATAATTTCCAGACTAAAGCAAGTCAGTTTGGATTGGATAGCAGTATGAAGCTATTCGCCCTCTCCAGTCTCATCGACATTGCTGGTTCAGCTAACGTAAGTAATTTGTCAAGGATAGATTTAATGAACCCGGTTATTTATTTTCGCATCTGAGTTGGTCTACAAAGCCTGATAGTGGGTACTGCTTGACAGTGGAGGCTCTGCCATTCACCCTTCATGATTTGTGACATTACCGAGATGGTGAGTACTGAGGCAAGAACTGACCTAAACTTTTTATTAGATATTCGAATCTACAAGAGAAACTAAGGTTACGGAATAATTCTGAGCGAGTTTTGGGCATTTAAAAGTGAAGTTTTTCTACACGTTTTTCCATAAAAATATGACGAACTTTCTCCGTTCTTCTGTTGGACCGACAGTTCATCCGAAAGACCGTTCAAAAGTATGTCAAGGAAAATGTTATTCAGATTTCCACAGCGCTGTTATTCACTCGAGGAACCGAGGCAACCATCTTGAAGGTATATCTGAATCTACTGCCACTTGGATTTGTTTTACGATTTCTCGCATGACCGAGAAAGCGCTTTCGCTAAGCGGCTTGTTCGCGCGTTACGCAATAACGTTTTTGACACAATAAAACTCATTTTTCTCAAAGGCGAAAGGAGCTAGAAAGTTCGTGTTTGCGCTATTCGACGCAGCCTGAACTCCTGAACCTACAGTATGATATTCAAAAAATTTAATAAAAGTTTGGAGGAGTTGTAGGAGTTTTATAGACTGTTACGCAATAACGAAAAAGGTCCTTTTTTTCCAGTGCTCGTCGTAAAGTGCGAAATTCCTGCGAAATGTGAATACTAAACGAAAAATGACTTGAGGCAAATTTGTAGCGCACGAAATTTGTTATCTAAGGGTGAAAAGATCAATATGCTATCAACTTTGCTCAGTTTAAAAACTAAATTATACTACCGTTACGCAATAACGCACTTTTTTTACGGACTCGTTTGGGGTACCAAACACACTCGGACATGGCTGATTTTCATGATCGGGTCAGATTCTCGTGTTTTTAGTCGATCTGCGCAAGCCCGAGGTTACTAACTCTCAATCGAAGGGAGAAAACTGTACAACCAGTTTAAAATTGTACAAAACTGTACAGCTCCTTCAGAGCAATAAAATTAAAAACTAAATGAGCCATTTTGTAGGAAATCAAATTCTCTACAAAACCATATCTTCGGAATTTTTTCTGAGTAAATTTCTTGGTTAGGAAACTGAAAATATGGTTTTTGAAAACTTTATAACCCGGTTTTCAAAGTCAAAACCCCCTTTTTTCAAAAAACCAAAGACAAATGGGTGCTCAGCTTCAAAAACTGCATCTTACTATGTATTTAGATCTGCCACATTCGAATTGTTTTTTTAAAAGAAACTTCCGCAGCGAAGTAGCGCGTTACGTGAACAAGCCGTAAGAGAGCTTTAGAATTAGTTTTCGTGTAAAAGCTTCGGAAGAAACATTCATGTGAAGGTCGTTTTAATATGGCTCTTGTTCTGAGCTTGAATGAGATTTAGTGTTGGTGAACCGTCAAAAAAACAACTTAAAACCCCGGTTTCTATTTTCACTTTAATTTCCAAAACTTGACTCAGTTTTGAAGCTTTTGCCGGTAATCTGAGACGATTGATTGCTTCGAATTGTGCACACTGCAACCGTCTTGTAAGAAGCATCTCTAGTGATACTGTTTTAGATGTTCTTCTAGATCAAACGTCGCGCGAAGAGAAGAACGGTTAATTTTGACGAAGTTTGAGCAGAACGCCAGAATCCTTCTTTTTCCGTAAGCATGACATGAACGCTTGTTGATTCTGACTCTTCTTCGCTGGGCGTAGCAAGTCTCTCTGAATAGAGAAACTGATTTACTTGGTACTATTTTGAGACACGTGAGAACGATATAATGGTAGAAAACGCCTCTTGAAGTTAGAAAAAAAATACTTTCGTTTTTTGTTGCTGAATCTCACCTGGTTTTGCCATTCTGTGCTTTTAGCTTCAGTCTAATTATGGCAACCCTTCGTAAAGGGAGTTTTTCTAACTGCCTGCTTTTCTATATATCTTAGTATGTTAATGATCGTCAGCAGACAAGTCATCAGTCACGTACGGTCCTGAAGTATTCGACGACGACACACTTTGAACAACTGTCAGTAGCACATCTTGGACGGGATTTTGAATTACAGGATCAAGATATTGTTACACACTTCGTCACCGGTATAACCTATGGTGCAGATGCATTTTTCATATTTAATCGAAACGCTGACTTGAGTGAAAATAAGGAAGATATTGATGCAAAAGTTTCAGCAGCTGTGAAAAAATTGCCAAGCTGGGGCATCGACGAAAATGTGGAAGAACAGGAGAAAGACGTGGTTAATAAACTTCAATGTACATTCTATGGTGATTATAACTTGAAACAAAATCCAAGCACCTTTCAGGATGCAGTCAAACTGTATCAGCAGTTACCTGATTTATTAGGTAAAGTACACCGTTTTGAGAGGAAGTAACAGACAAAAATGAGCTTAGTGCGCTGGTGGTTGCTTTACAAAATACGGTAGTATTAAAGCTCACTACTTTGATACACTTTTATGCTAAAAACTGTAATGTAAAACTTCAGCAGTCACGATACTTTGCAGGAGTGTTACAGTTTTATCTTTACTTTATTTAGGTGCTAACGGTGAACATGCTGTACCAAAAACAGTTTGGCTATATCCTTTGAACCTACTGCTGGACTCAAAACTCGAGATACTCGTTCGCGAACTGCCAGACTCCCTCATCGGTCAAGCGTTTGTTATCACTGAGGACCTCCATTTACTCAAAGTTAAAGCCGCCGATCTCAGCCTTTCACCGGCGTTCAAACATTTCTCTCAACTGAAAGAGCAGCTATTGAAGTTCAAAAAGATAATGGACGCTTACGAAAATAAAATCAAGCGGGAAATTGCCGTCATCCTACCTCAACTTAGTTCCGGTCAACTAACAATCCAAGAACTCGATCAAATTTTTGAAAATGTGGAAACTTCACCGTTCAGTCAAAAAACGCTTTCTCACTGGCTCGAACGAAAAGACGACGAAATCACACAGCTCAACTCTCTCGTTCAAACCATTTCTCAAGACGCACCGACACTTCTTACCGAGCGATGCTCACTCCCGGAAGCTCTTAACAATGCCAATTTGAAATACAGTCTCTGTCAGGATGCATCGATTCAGACATCCTGTCAAAACTGAGACCTCTGTCATTCAGTGGTCAGTTCAATTGCGCACAACAACAGGGAAAAAAGCCATCAGACAATCGTCTCGGTTTGTGCTGGACGTCCTTCACTGATGCATCCTCTCTCCTTCCGTCTAAACGAAAAAGATGAAGCACAGCTGAAAGACATGTCCAGTTATCTGCATCGAAAAAGCGACTTTCTAAGAAGAGAGGATCAGAAACTGGAATCCTGGGCCAAAAATGAGTCAACAGTATCGAAAATTCGTGAAATGTTCAAACAGTTCGTCCACCTGCGCCGAGAAAACGTTGGGAATACAAAAGTGAAGTTTATTGTCAACGAAGTGTATTTTAGCAAAGATAACCAGGAGGACAGAGGAGCTGAGTTGGTGTTGTATGAAGATGGAGAAGAAAAGAAAGGGTACATTATGCCGAGTAAACCGAGTACGTAACGCAGGATAGCTTTTCTTGGCCGCTTTAGGAAGACAATACTCGAGATCTATGCTGCTCTTAGCGTGCTGTAGTTTAACATCCCGAGACCTCGCTCTCAGCAAAATTGACCGCCCAACGCGAAACTGTGCTCTGTTAAAGATGACGGGTATCTTTTTTTGAGCAAATCTGCCCACCTTTCCAATAAAGATAACTTACCAGAACCCTGAAGCTGCCATCAACCTTGACTTTCAGAACTACTTCCAAGGGCTTAGAAATGAGTTTCCGATAAGTCATTAAAATGTTTCTGCTTTTGACCTCTGAATACTACATCTGTCTTGAAATATTATTAATTTAGTTGAGACGGAATTAAAAGGTTTTCGTCGCGATTCTATTCTCCAAAAACTGAGCAAAGAAATATCTTTAAAAAATATTTTGTAAGCTTAGGTAAATACTATAACTCTGAAGATAGCAGTTGCGACATAGTATTATATTATCTTACTCTGATCAACTGAGGGCTAAAGCAAATATGAAAAGTTTCCCCGATGCGGAACAACTTAAAAGCGGGTTTACTCCTTTTTGAACATAAAATGTACAGTTTTCAACAGAGTATACTTTAAATAGAACGTGTTTCGTAAACTGTCAGAACCGCATGAAGAAACGTCGTCTCGCATTCCAAATAAAACTAAATAGTCTGTAAACCGTGTGTCTCAAATGCACTATTACTATCTCTCTGAATGAAAAAAGTACGAACAATACACATTTCGATTCAAATAGACTTGGCGACTTCACAGCCTTAAAGCCATCCAAGATTAAACGAGAGACGACCTACAGTCTTGCCTTGCCGGGGGTTTTCAAACAATTGAACTAAGACTGCAACTGGCTACATCGTTATTAAAAATAGAGAATGACGTTACAGCCTAGGAGGGGCCATTGTTTTATTTTTTAATGAAATTCATTTTATGGATCTTCTAATGAAGACATGGCATCTGCCCCCTGCTCATTTCCCCCGAAATTCATTCCAGACTGGATTCCCGAGGCGACGGGGGAATTATGTGTAAAATCCAAACTCGATGGGTACTCGGGGTATCCCATCATACCCTACGGCCCACTTTTTGGGTCCTTTTTGGGTAGATTGGATTCCTCCGAAAGGCACTTAGATTGGCGTCGGGGAATCCAATCGCAAAAATGGCACTTTTTCAAGTTTTTCATTAGACTGAAATCCATCGTTATTTCGGCCGGGGGGGGGGGGGGGGGGGGCACCGGGGCAAGTGTTTACAAAAAACACCCACCCGGCCCCGGTTTTTGCCCGTTTGGACTT